GTACAATTTTGTGGTGGCCATCTATGCTGAAACACATTCAGTCTTAGCTCCATAAGCCCCTCCCCCGCATGGCCTGAGAGGAACAGTGAGGCTCCTCCAGTGGACCATGCCTTGGCACTTGCCCTGGTCCCACCCTGTTCTGCCAGAGACCCTCAGATCTATCCCACTCCTGCCCAGGCCCCCACAGGCACCCTTGACGCAAATGATGTAGAGCTGGCCACACCCACCCAGTAGGCAACACCCACTCCATCCATGCCCACCCAGTAGGCTGCACCCACCTTGGCCACACCCACCCAGCCCCCCCGAGGGCAACTGCAATGCTGATGCGGCCCTCAATGAAACTGAGTTTGACACCCCTGGTGTAAGTGATATCACAATGCATGTCCCAAAGAGATGGAGCTTTCTGTTCAATGCTGTTTCTTTACTCAAGGGGTGTCAAACTGCCAGCCCGCAGGCCAGATGCATCACAATGAAACCGTGCCCACCCCATTGCCAGCAATGGAGGAAAAGTTACGATACGTTGTGCGATGTCATGTGATGTCGCGAGTTTGACATGTCTGCTTTACTCAATTTATTGGAACAACAAAACTGGCTCTATTAAAACTGCCCCCATCTAGATGCTTAATTATTGCCTTACCTGTTTCTGAAAGCACTCTTTGATGGATCCCTAAACATAAATCCACACAATATTATACAGATTTACTTTTGGACATAAAAGTTAAGGTTCAGCTATAAGAAAATTGCAATAGCCATTTAGCACAGTTTTGCTTGCATCTTTGATAAAATAAAATAATGGAAATGATTGTGATCTCTCTTTTTTCTTAGAGGAAATAGCTATTATAAGAAGCATAACTGGAGGAAAAACAAACCTCTTTTATTTTCCTAGCTGTATGCACATACCAGGAATTCTAAACTGCTCACGTCATAGATTGTTTTTATGATTTGACAGGTCATGATTTTGTTCAGTTCCAGATGATTAAGTCTTGGCAAATAAATCTCTCACTCAAGCAGCTGCCTGCCAAGTTAATTGCACGGCAGATTCCACAGAACCAGATTGCATCAACCTCCTCCAAAGGTTATGGTATGCAATCGCTTTGGGAAACCAGATGGTGCAGCTCATTGGGTCAAATCTGGTTTTCGATCTGAATTCCTCGCCCTTTGCCATCCATACCTCCTCCTTCCAAAAGCATAACTTACATGTACACAGGCTTAACCTTGATACTGCATTAGCCATCTTTCTGGTTTTGCACAATGCCACTTGATCTAATCTATTCACTCAAGTTCCTACAATCCACAAAACCACCAAAGGTGAACTACTGTGAAGCATAACCCAGGATAGCATGTTGTGTGAAGGCAGTTACTAGGTTTTTAACTGAGAGGCTTAACTGTGTTCATGAGAACAGACTTTTAAGAGGAGATCAGGCAGATAGTCTTTATCACGGCTGCAATTATTCAGGGGACAACTAAGAAGTATACAAATCTCCAGTTCTTTGCTGCCATCTAATGATCGTGTCTATAATGGCCAGAGTTTAACATGTTTTCTTGGAAACAATACAGGAAACAGTATGCTGTTGCCTTCTTCCACAATTTTGTTTTGCTTTCCGAGCATACACTACAGATTTGGGCTTTTCCTAGTGGTCTCCCATCCAGGTATTAATCAGGTTCTACCTTTAATTTTTTTCCAGCTAGATTCCATGACAAAAGGCACATAAACCAGAAAACATGTCCAAAGTGATGGAAATATTTAATTATTCAGAGTACAGGTAATCCTCAACTTACAACAGTTCACTTAGTGACCGTTTGAAGTTACAACGGCACTGAAAAAAGTGACTTATGTCCATTTTTCAGACTTATGACTATTGCAGCATCCTCATGATCACATGATCGAAATTCAGATAGTTAGTAACTGACTTGTATTTATGATGGTTACAGTGTTCCAGAGTCATGTGATCACCTTTTGCGACCTTCTGACAAACAAAATCAATGGGGGAAATGCCAATTCACTTAACAACCATGTTACTAACAACTGCAGTAATTCACTTAACAAATGTGGCAATAAAGATCGTAAAAAGAGGCAAAACTCACTTAACAACTGTCTTGCTTAGCAACATAAAGTTTGGGCTCAATTGTGGTCTTAAGATGAGGACTACCTATATGTAGTCCAGGCCTGTTACTGAAAAAGCTAGCTGTAATTAAGTAAACCTTGGTGACTCAAGATAAATTGGGGGATTCATATTATATGGCAGACATGTCAAACTCGCGACATCACGTGACATTGCGCAACGTATCAGGACGGTATTGCCATTGCCGGCAATGGGGTGGGTGCGGCTTCCGGATGACGCATCCGGCCCGCGGGCCAGCAGTTTGACACCCCTGTTATATGGAGTGGCTTCATACAACACTTAGGATCAAAGGGCTAGTTTGTGAATCACTCTCTGGGGAATTCAGAACTGAAATATTATTATTAAATAATAATAATAATAACAACAATAATAAAGTTGGAAGGGACCTTGGAGGTCTTCCAGTCCAACCCCATTCAAGCATGAGACCCTATATCATTTCAGACAAATGGTTGTCCAGTCTGTTCCAGTGTTGGAGCATTCACAACTTCTGGAGGTAGGTTGTTCCACTAATTAATTGTTCTAACTATCAGGAAATTTCTCCTGGGTTGCTTCTCTCCTTGATTGTTTCTTGTCCTGCCTTCAGGTGCTTTGGAGAATAGCTTGACTCCCTCTCCTTTGTGGCAGCCCCTGAGATATTGGAGCACTGCTATCATGTCACCCCAGGTCCTTCTCTTCATTAAACTAGACATACCCAATTCCAGCAACCATCCTTTATATGTTTTAGCCTCCGGTCCCCTGATCATCTTTGTTGCTCTTTTCCGTACTCTTTCTAGAGTCTCAACATCTTTTTTACATCGTGGTGACCAAAACTGGATGCAGTATTTCAAGTGTGGCCTTACCAAGGCATTATAAAGTGATCTTGATTCTATCCCTCTGTTAATGTAGCCTAGCACTGCTGGCTCATATTTAAATGATTGTCCACTAGAACTCCAAGATTCCTCTCACAGTTACTACTATTGAGCAAGGTACGACCGATACTATACCTGTGCATTTGGTTTTTCTTGCCTAAATGTAGAACCTCACTTTTTTCATCATTGAAATTCATTTTGTTAGATAGCGCCCAATGTTCAATTCTGTCAAGATCCTTCTGTATCTTAAGCCTGTCTTCTGGAGTGTTGGCTATTCCTGCCAGCTTGGTGTCACCTGCAAATTTGATGAGTTCCCCATCTATCCCCTCATCCAAATCATTGATGAAGATGTTGAAGAGCACTGGGCCTAGACCAGAGCCCTGGGGCACCCCACTACACACTTCCCTACATGTAGATGCGGTTCCATTGAGGACCACATACTGAGTACGGCCGGTCAGCCAGCAATGAATCCATCTGGTGGTGATGCTGTCTAACCCACATTTTTCTATCTTATCAAGTAGCACGTTGTGGTCTACTTTATCGTATGCCTTACTGAAGTACAAGTAAATTATATCCACAACATTCCTCTGGTCCACTAATTTTGTCACCTGATCAAAGAATGAAATAAGATTTGTCTAGCATGATCTGTTTTGACAAACCCATGTTGCTTTTGGTAATGACTTTGCCTCTAGGTCAGGCATATCAAACTTGCGACATATCGCGACTTTTTCCCCATTGTCAGCAGGCACGGTTTTGTGAGATGTAAAAACTCCAAATTTTGATACTCACAATACGAAGACAAGTCTGGTTAACAAAACAAAGGTTTATTGGAGAATAACATAAAAAGAATAAAAAGAAAAGAAAAAGAAATATAGAAGAGAGGAGCGTTTGCAAATGGGCCTCCTGAATCCTTCCCTATGGATTGGATTTCCAGGAGCACACTGGCCTGGTTTCAAGTTTTTCATTTTATACCCTACACATCTGAGAAGCTCTTTCATCTTTATATATATGTACTTTGAAGTTGTACTTAAAGTCATCCTGAGCTCTTCCACCCATCTGCTGTTATCTTGTTTATTTGTAATTTTCACCTAGGGTCAAAATCCCCCTCTTTGATAGTAGGATTTCTACTCAAAGTGTAAGTTCCTGTGTCCTGAGAACTTTTAGGCAGGAAATATTGAACAAACTTTCTCACACATTTGGCAGTGCATTACTACATTTGTGTTACAGTGTTACATTTGTGTTAAATAGACAGTCTCATATATTGGCATTACATTTCTACAATTATTTTTCTACAATTTTATAAAAGAATAACTTTTACTTCCTTCAGTTTCAAAGTGATGCATCCAGCCCGCAGGCCAGCAGTTTGACATGCCTGCTCTAGGTGTTCACTGATTCGTTGCTTGATTAACTTTTCCAAGATCTTCCCAGGTATTGAGGTCAGGCTGATAGGTCTTGTAGTTTCCTGGATCCTTTTTGTTTCCTTTTTTAAATTTATTGTTATTTATTTATTTATTAAATATATTTATTATTTATTTATTATTATTATTTATTATCTTGAATTATTTCAAAAAGAGTCTTCTTCCTCCCAGATGCAAAGAAAACGAGGAGGGAAACTGATATTTCCCGCCCCCCTCCCGTTTCCTTCGTGCACATCTGTTGAAGAAAAAAACACTTTTTTCGAATTTTCTCCAAATCAGCCTGAAATAAATTGCGCGCTTCTTGCAAATGACGGCCCGGGATATACGGCCTGAAAGTATCAGGTCAACCAATCTGAAAGCCTTATGCAAATAAATCCATTTGCCCGCCCGCGGAAGCTTGTTGATGACGCAAAGGTGGTTCGACAACCAATCAGCCGTTCGGGAAGTATTCTGGCCGCCCCTCCCCCAAGTAGCAAGGCAATGAGAGCGAGATAGACGCGCAGGAACCTTTCTGCGTCTTTCTTCGATCCCTTCCCAAGATGGCGGCCGCGATGAATTTCCAGGGGGCGGGTCTAATATTGCGCCTGCGCGTTGAGCAACAAGTTCCTTCTAAAGATGGCGGCAATGAAACATTTACGAATAGCGGGCGCGCACGCTGGTTTTACTTCTTTAATAGTCAGAGTGAGACTTTTTTATTATTATTTCTCTCTCTCTCTCTCTGTTTGGTCATTCTATGTTATGATTACTGTAACTGCTCAGGCGAAGGGGGAACGGGCGGGCTCCAGTGAGTTTTAATCTGGATTAAAGCGAATGGTATGCAATTCGAATTAATTCAAAAGCAGGGACTCTTAGTCCCAATTACCGGTAATTAGGACTGTACAGATAATAACCGTTAAAAGGGAACAAGCGGTACACACCATGTGGGTATTTCTACCGCAAAACGATGTAGTGAGATAAGGCGAGGTTGTGGCTGATGGGCTTTTTAGTCCATCCTTCAGTGAAGGCGCTAGTTTGGAAGTGATGGCTGAGAGGTGGGGAGACCCCCAATTTGAAAGCAAATCGGCCATGGAAATCTGGTTCACGTCTATTCTTTTTTGAGAAAAGTTGGGATATTAATGTATTAAATAATTATTAATTATAATTATTAATAGTTTCATGAGAACTACTAGAAACTGGGAGACAGTGAGTTCTAGTCCCTCCTTAGGATGAAAGCCAGCCTAGTTCACCTCCGAGGGTTATTATGGGGAAAATAGGAGGTGGAAGGTGTGTTGGATGTTGGCCATCTTGAGTTATTTGTAAAAATAAATAGATACATACCTGAATGATGTTGAGGGTAATCATAAAGGGCTCAATTAAATGTAGGAGCTGTGAAATATGTTAATCTCATATTTCTACCAGCAATCTTGTTCTAATGTTCTTTTGGACTTAGTTATATGCCATGCGTCTTGAGGCAGATGGGTGGTTAAGAAATATGAAATATAAAAAATTATATTGATGGTATGTTTTCAATTATAGTCTAATATTAAAATTGATCCTTCAATTCATAAAACTGAGTAGTTGGTACAGCCTCTTGGAAAAAAAAAAAAAACCTCCCTAAGATGCTCAACCTAGATTTTGATTGATGTTAGCTACCTAGAGACGTGAATTTGAGGTGGACGGCTATGTAACTTGAAATAATAAAAATAAGGTCATTGGTATGTCCAAGGCTATTAGTGCTTCAGATCCAAATTAAGGCTGTAGTAAATGTTCTAAATAAATATTTTGCCATTCAGTGCTTTCAACGAGTAATTATTCTTTTCACAACTTCAGAAGTCTTAATAGTTAATAAGTAGATTTGGGTATGAACTATTTTCAGCCCCAATTTGTCAACCTATCCCCACGCTTTTGCCTGTTAAATAACAATCATCCCAGAAAGGCAATTTCTTATGAGAACAAAAATCAGTTTTAGCTTTTGTTCCAGAAACATAGCAATGTGGCTAGCTGGCTTTAATTCAAGGAATACAGTTATACTCTAATCATAAATAGAACCACCTACAGTAACTTGCTGTGATTTCAAAAGTGCCAAATAATAACGTTCATTATTTCTATTTTAGCAAAGTCAATATGTGTGACCTATGACACATTGGAAAACCAGAAAATTAAAGTCTGCATATTCTTGTGACAGCTGCATTTTAGAAAGAACCTTGTACAGGTAGTCCTTGACTTAACAACCTTTCATTTAGTGACCATTTGAAGTTACAAGCACACTGAAAAAAATGACTTATGACTGTTTTTTACACTTACCAGTATTGTGGCATCCCCATGGTCACATGATCAAAATTCAGACACTTGACAACTGGCTCATATGATGACTGCAGTGTCCCAGGATCATGTGATAACTTTTGCAACCTTCTGACAAGCAAAGTCAATGGGGAAGCCAGATTCACTTAACAACTGTGTTACTAACTTACCAACTACAGTGATTTGCTAAACAGCTGTGGCAAGAAAGGTCATAAAATGGAGCAAAACTCACTTAACTGTCTTGCTTAGCAACAGAAATTTTGGGTTCAACTGTGGTCATAAGTTGGGGACTACCTGTAGTCCTACATGATTTTAGCCATTTTGGGATTTGGCTATCTATGATTAAATCTTAAAACTCTGCTCTAATTTTTTCTTATTTGTCTCCTTGCTCAGAGGTTGGCGACCATTTTTCCCAATGTTTCTCAAGTAGATAATTCTTCAAATTTCCTGAATAACGTTCCTCACCGAAAACACCCAGGCATCCTCCATCTCAAATGTTTGAAGCTTCCGCCTGAATTAGTGCAAGCAGTTTCCTTTTGGGTAGCCCGTGAGTAAAACTCATTAAAGTTTGGATTGTCTGAGTATATTGGCTGGTGTCTTGGTTGAAGGGATGCTACAGGTGGTCCTGGATTTATGACTGGTTGCTTAGCAACCATTCAACATTACAATGGACCCCCCCACAAAAGTACTTTCACAATTCAGATTATAATTGAAATTCCAATGGCTCCCCCCCCCAGCGGTCATGTGATTACATTTTTGGTGCTTGGCCACTGTCCCACATTTATGGTTGTTTGCAGCATATTGCAGTCTCATGATCACAATTTACAATGTTTTTTGCCAGAAGCGAGTGTTTAGTTCCAGTTTCTGGCAAAACAACCCCGTCCATTGCAGGCAATGAGTTTGCTTAATCTCCATTGTGATTTGCTTAAATGCTGCTGTTTCTGAAATTGAAATGACAGGGTGAATTCCGTGATCCTACTTTTTCAGTTTGGAGAGTATTATTTCTCTGTTCTTTCATTTAAATCTTAATCTGGTCCCTCTCATGCAGTACATCTCTCACATGTACCAAATGTATTCAGTTGCAAAAGACATCCATCAAGATATTCTTACATTGAGCACAATTCTATGGATGTATATCCATATAGTTTCATTAGCAACCACATGGAATTGGTTTACCATTGTCTTCTGGGATGCTTTTTAGGTTTAATAGCTATCATAGAGCCCAACTTCTTTGATTTCTGTCATGAGTCTTGTTCTTTCTCCCAGAATCCCTCATACGTGATCTGGAGAAGAAGTCTGAGTCTTTTAGCAACTACCTCTGGAGCCGCAAACGTCCAGTAGAATTTAAGGATCTGCATAGAAAAGCACAACTCCTGGAACAGAAGCTGAGGAAGGATGCAGAAGTCCTGGTCCAGCAGAAAGGTGAAAGTGGGATGTGGATGATAGACAGAAAACCGGAGCAACCACACTTTTTATTTTTTTTATTGAAAATAAGATATCAGAAATATACAGGATAGTTAAAAAAAAGAGATGGGAGAACTGAAAGAAAACTTGAGGAATAGTGATAGCACTTAGACTTATATACCACTTCAGAGTGCTTTACAGCCCTCTCTAAGCAGTTAAAGAGTTAGCATGTTGCCTCCAACACTGAGTTCTCATTTTACCAACCTCAGAAGGCTGAGCCGGTCAGAATCAAACTCCTGGCAGTGAGCAGTGAGTTAGCCTGTAATACTGCATTCTGATCGCTCTGCACCACTACGGAATAGTTAGATATGAAATAATGGGGAAAGAAATATTACAAAATAGTACGATAAACCATTATAACAATAAACAGTTATAATTCTATGTATAACTGTCTAGTGCAAACAGCATTTATGTATGCATGTTTAATACATTTATATGTCTTTTTAATCTGAATTCTATATAAATGAGTCTTGTATTTCTTTGTACTTGTCTATACAAAGACTATGTCTCTAGGCCAGGGGTGTCAAACTCAATTTCATTGAGGGCCACATCAGCATTGCGGTTGCCCTCGGGGGGGGGCAGGTGGGTGCGGCCAGGGTGGGTGTGGCCTACTGGGTGGGCGTGGCCAGCTCTACATCGCTCGCGTCAAGGGTGCCTGTGGGGGCCTGGGCAGGTGTGGGACAGATCTGAGGGTCTCTGGCAGAAGGGGGTGGGACCGGGGCAAGCGCCAAGGCATGGTCCATTTCTTCATTCCTCACAAAGGGTAACACCTCCCCAGCATGCACCCAGGGGGCGGGGCCGACACAACAGGGGCTGGTTCCTTGCTGTTTCTAGACGGCCTTGTGGAGCTAAGACTGAATGCGTTTCAGCATAGATGGCCACCACAAAATTGTACATTGGCTCCCGGCCGGCCAGGGCCAAGGCAGAGGGGGCCGGTTCCCTCACTGTTTCCAGGATGGCTTCGCGGGCCACATGAAACCACTTCGCGGGCCGCATCCGCCCCCCCAGGCCTTGTGTTTGACATCTCTGCTCTAGGCAATCAGCTCACAGGTGACAAGTGCAGTCAGGTCCTCAATCCATTGAGTGAATTGAGCCATTCATTTATATTTCCAATGCTGCAATATTAGCTTTTTGGCCATAGGAAGGTATGCAGAGAATCTGTTACGTTGTCCATGCATTTCGTATATACAGGTACTCATTGACTTACACTGTAATTGAGCCCAAATTTTCCGTTTCTAAGCAAGACACTTATTAAATGAGTTTCCCCCCATTTTATGACCTTTCTTGCCATAGTTGTTGAGCAAATCACTGCAATTATTAAATGAATCATTCTGTCATCAAGCGAATCCATTGACTTTGCTTATTGGAAGCCAGCTGGGAAGGTTACAAATGGTGATTACATAACCAAGGGATGGTGCCGCTGTCATAAATGCATGCCAGTTGCCAAGCGTCTGAATTTTGATCATGTGCACATGGGGGTGTCATGTGTCTGATTAACGAAACACTTAAAAGGACTTTCAGGCATATTTTCTCCTAAAAGCATTTATTAAGGTTACAGAGACGTCAGTACAGCATGGTGGAAATGCTTAGGTCTGGCTTCTTTTCCGTTACGCATATACATTCTAAGCATTCCCCCCCCTTTATTTTGGGGTCATGGTTCACATCTTCCAATCAACTTGGAAGATGTGATTTACTTCCCGTTTCTTTTTCCCGGGCTATCCTTATTCTCCTCCTTTTTTCCCTGTTGCCTGGTTTAACTATAAAAATACTAGACAGTTCTGCATATTGTCAAAGCAAGAATATACAGTATTTGCAGCGTTGACGGGGTGGCGCAACGGCCATAAAGGTGCAAAACGGTCACAAGTCACTTTTTTCAATGCTGTTGCAATTCTGAACAGCCACTAAACAAATGGTTGTCAGTCACGGACTACCTGTAATTCTAAAGAATATTATTCTCCCAAAATTTCAGATTTTGTGGCACAATTTATATAATCAACTACTTTGCACAACTTATACAATCAACTTCTTTCCCCCCCCCAAACATGGCAAATATAGGACGCTGTAGAAACATGTTTTAAAGAAGCACCATCCTTTATTGCATCTCCAACGAAATGCTGTTTTTGTCAGTCTTTTTCTATAAAGATGGAAATCCAATGAATTCGAAATATTAGAATGTTAGTCTTTCCTCACTTCGACAAAATACATGGAGATATTTGCCCAGTTTCTCTCTGTCAAGATAGTTTATCTTATGGAATTGCTGAGCCCCTGCAGAAAAGCTGGGCTCTGACTCCAGCAAATAAAAACAAATTCTGTTGGAAAGTTGATTTTTCAATCAGGATTTTCTCCAAAAAACAGGAATAGAGGGGCCAGAATTCCAACCCACCCCCCATTCCCACCACCATCCTGCTGAGTGGCCTTGGGTTGATCACTGAGTCTTACCTGATCCCACCTCTCAGGGCTGATTGTGTAGATAGACCGGTAAGAGGCTGAGCGATGATGTATACTACACTGTCCTTGAGAAAGGATGAGATGAAAATGTAATAATTTGCAACAATAATCCCAGTACACGTTCTCATACATCTTTCTTAGATAGATCCCTGGATGAAAGGGATGAGAAGGTGAAGCAAAAGATTTTGACTGCTCTTCGTAAAGTCACCTACCACTGGGAAGAGTTGAAGTGAGTGTCTAGAACTCAGGACCCTGATTTCTGGAGGATGACTCAGTTGACCTTTCTTGTTTTAATTTATTTGAATCACAAAGGTCCGTTAGCTTTTCTTTTCATATAGTTTCTTCCTATTATTGTGGTCATTGGTGTTGGTGTTATGATTATTTATATTCTGCCTGATTTCAGAACAACTTTTGGCTGTTTATGCTTAAAAAAATACAAACCTCTTCTTTATACCATATTTTCCCAAAAGCAAGACCTACCCTGAAAATAAGCCCTAGCTTGATTTTTTTGGGAGTGAGCCTAATAATAAACCCGTCTCCAAAAATAAGCCCTAGTTTTGGGATGAGGCACATGTCTAAAAATCAAGCTAGGATGGGGGAGTGGAGCTGCCCCACATGCCCCACACCCACTTACTGTTGCAGCCAAGCCTCCCATGAATCGACACCGGCCTGCATTTCACCACAGCCAAGAACCAAGCTATGGATTGAATCCATAGCTCGGTTCTCGGCTGTAGCGGCCTTTCTGCGAGGCCTCTGACGGCGAAATGGAGGCCGGGGGCGACGCACACAAGCGGCGACAAGCGGTCGCAGTAGAAGTGGGCTGGCTGGGCAGGGCTGTCAGTGCCGCTGCCGCGAGACCATGGAAAAGACACACCTCCCCCACCCCAAAATAAGACCTGCTACCTCTTTTGGAGGCCAAAAAAAAAGCCCGGGTCTTATTTTCGGGGAAACAACAGTACCATGAAACAAAAAGTGGTAGGGGCTCCTGAAGCACTCTTCCAAGGCCTGGGAGAAAAGCCAAGTATTTAGCATCAGGATGAGAGCTACATCACTTTTCATTTTATGCTCTGTACATGTCTGCTATTTGCCTCCATTTTATGGTGCCTATTCTCGTGACCTTAGATGGCTTCTGTTTAGCTGGGAGGGAGGGTGGTGTTTGTGTAACTTTCTGTTTTTGTACTGACCACCATTGCAATTTTTTCTTTCTCAAGATACACTGAAGAGCTCAGCTTTCTGTACATGGTCACCCGGATGGATGCAAACTTTGCAGCAGTGAGCCGAGCTTTCCAAGAAGTAAGTTGCAGCTGTAGCTTCTGGAGGGCAGTGGGCAAGATGACGTAGGGCAGGGCTTTTCAACCTTTTCACCCATTGTACCACTTTTAGGATATGGCAACCTCCGAGTATCACCAGTCACCTAGCAAGGTGTCAAAAACTTGATGACCAAAAATAAAAAAAAGGAAAAAAATGATGAAGTATAGGTAGTCCTCGACTTACAACAGTTCCCTTAGTGTAGTGATGGCGAACCTATGGCACGCGTGCCAGAGGCGGCACTCAGAGCCCTCTCTGTGGGCACACCTGCCGCCGCCAGGTCACGCAGGTCCATTAGGCCAAGGCTTTTCAACCAGTGGTACAGGCACCACCTGTGGTACATTGGCACCTGGCAGGTGGTACGCGACCATCCTGGAAAAGTGGTAGCGGGGGAGGGGAATGAGCTGAACCGGTGACATCACTGCACAAGCCTGAGCGAGAGATGGCTGGAGCTGCAGGGCTGTCAGGGCTCAGCGGAAGCCCCAGGATCAGTGCCGCTTTCCAGCTGATCGACGCTTCTTTGGGGCTGTCAGAGTTCAGTGGAAGCACCAGTGGAAGCTCGGCGCTGATCCTGGTGCTTCTGCTGAGCCCTGAAGAAGCACCAATCAGCTGGAATGTTGCAGCATCTCCAGGGTCTTGTGATTTACATTCAGATGCTTGGCAACTGAATCATATTTATGACGGTCACAGTGTCCCAGGGTCATGTGAAGTGACCAAAACCTGCTGCAACCATCCAGCAGATGGGGGGGGGGATAAAAACCAAACACCCCCCCACCCCACCCCCACTGCCAATCCTAAACAGAAATGCTCACAACAATGAAAACCTCGGACAGGAGGAAGAGCGTCGCTGGGCGGGCAGGCAGGTGTCTTGCTCAGCTGTGGCTTGGGGAGCACTTTTTTCAGTGCCATTGTAATTTTGAACAGTCACTAAGCCAGTGATGGCGAACCTTTTAGAGACCGAGTGCCCAAACTGCAACCCAAAACCCACTTATGCATCGTCAGGTGCCGGGTGGGTGTGGCCCATTGGGTGGGCGTGGCCCATTGGGTGGGCGTGGCTGTGGTAACAGCAGACTGGGTGGGACTAAAAAGTTCAATCAAACAATTCCAACTTTGCAAGATCTTTTTTTTCCTGTGAGAAGTTGAAATTGAACCTTTTTTTGTGTGTGTACACGGCGACGGAGGCCTAAAGCGAAAAGGTTTTATAAAACCCAGCTGAAGGCTTAGGACTGGGGCGATGGCATGCGTGCCCACAGAGAGAGCTCTGAGTGCCGCCTCTGGCACCCCTGCCATAGATTCGCCACCACTGGGATAAGCCAAAATTACTATTGAAATACATATTCATGTTCCAGAACCAAATATAGCTGAGGGTTAGGGTTAGGGTTATACTCAGCTGTATAAATGTGATAGGAAAGGAGTCAGTTGCTTTATAGTAGGTGTATAAGGTCTAGAAGTCCAAAATATTCCTATACTCCCATTAGTTTTGGCCATGAATAATCAGGGTAACCTGTCCTCTACTGTGGATGCTCATTTCTAGCTATTAAAATTGGGATGATATCAACAGGGCCTTTACTGCAGCAGCCTCTCTTTCTTTTGAAAATGAGTGAATGACATCTCTGCCCGACTTAAAGCTTAAGATCGTTTTCAGAATCATGTCTTACCTTATTAAGCTTGACAAATATGATACTGTCCTTCACACTGAGAAAGTGACCCCCTTTTTTTTGTGTGTGTGTGTGTGTGTGTGTGTTTTGCTGGCAGAAATTTTTTTAATTTATTTTTTATTTTTCCAAACTCTCCCCCATACATATACTGTGATATTTATCAGATATTAACATACATTCTTTTTACATTCTTATATATAAGATACTTTAATGAAATAAATGCATACACATGACTTTGGGTGTTGCTCGCCCATTTCCCCTTTCACTGCATCCCTACTCCTTCTTCTCTACCTTCTTTCTCCCTTCCTTCTCTTTCTTCCCTACTTCCCTCTTCTTCCTCTCCTCTCCTCTTCTCTTTCACCACTCTCTCCTCCAACCTTCCTACTTCCTTCTCCCCTCCTTTACTCTTTTCTCTCTCCTCTCCTTTCTTCCCTCTCATCCCTCTTCAGATACAATTCAGGGGTAATGTCCGAGNTTCCAGCCCAAAACTTTGCTAGATTTCGGTTCCGGTACCGGTGCTGTCAGCTGGTGAGAATCCCCTGGAAGAGAGAAACAGCCCTTCTCCACAACGCCAGCAGTGTGGCTTATCTCCCTAATAGAGGGAGTGAGTCCTTAAAATCAAAGGGAAAGAGAGGGGATGGCGATCTTTTGTTGGCTATGGCTTCACCGTAAAAAATTTTTTGAAGGGGCTGAATGCTGCTTAGTCAGCCATTGCACATGTGAACTGAGCAAGTTTGGGTTAGGGATCCTAGTTTTCCTAAATGGGAACATCCTGGCCGTGGAGCATCCCATCTGTTTTGAAGAGGATCATGTGTAGAAATGCTTCCAAAATGGGGGGGAAATCTGCAGTCAGGTCTCCGTAGTCAGTATAAGGGGGGGAACACCGCTAGCGAAAAAGAAGTTCAAGCAATATGTGTATGACAAGTAGTGTTCCATTGGAGAAAGCCAACAGAAGTGGACCTGGTGGGGTATGGGGAGGTAATATGTCTTCATACACTTAAAATTCTACTTTATCTCTCTGAGTGTCTTATCTGTCTACATCAGCGGTTCTCAACCTATGGGTCGCGACCCCATTTGGGGTCGATCGACCATTTCACGGGGGTCGCCAAGCAAGGCTGTCCGCCATTTTTTCCCCCTTTTCCGGCGGGTGCCTTACCTCCCTTGAGCTGGGCCAGCTGGTGGTCGGCCTGCTCCGTCTCTGCCGCTTGCCAGCTACGCCTTGGCTGGCACAGGGGGCGGAACCACGCATGCGTGGCGCTCCCGGGCATGCGTGGTTTAGTCCTCGACTTATGACCGGTTGGGGGTCGCGGCATTAAAAAGGTTGAGAACCACTGGTCTACATCCATCTTTGTCTGTCTGTCTGTCTGTCTGTCTATCTATCTATCTATCTATCTATCATCTATCTATCTATCTATCTATCTATCTATCTATCTATCTATCTATCTATCTATCTATCTAATCTTTGCTTTTTTCTACATCTTAGGGCAGCCCATAGCATTTGGGGCGAAAGCTTGAAGGAATACATAAATGTCGATTGCTCTGTTCCCATGCTGGCCCTGGCAGAGAAGCTGATGCGAGGTGAGATGGGAAGGAAGATATATAGAGTATTTTATTTTCTCAGCTTAAGGCTATATTTTTCCAAGCATAAAGGTTTTTTCCTTTTTAATTTTTAGACTGGAGGGTAACATCTTTTGAATTAGGCCCCCCAAGGTGGTTGCTCATCACACTGTTCTTTGGATTTGGAAGAGATATCCGATTCAGCTGTGTTTATGGAGGAGTGAGTGCTTTATCTTTGTGACTGGGGAAAACTCATGAAGAAATGTATCTCCTTAGAAAGCGAAATCCACATATAGTACTTTCCAGAATGGCTGGGTATCAGATGGCATATAAATTTGCTTAATAATAGTATACATCCATGGGTTAGCACAGCTGGATCATAGCCTTTCCTTGGATATTTCCTGCAGACTCTTCCTGCGGCACTGTTTCTGAGTTTGGTTTTGTCCCTAGTTGGGTGCTGTCTACAGCAGGGCTTTTCAACCTTTTCACCCATGGTACCACTTTTAGGATATGGCAACATCCGAGTACCACCAGTCGCCTAGTAAGGTGTCAAAAACTTGATGACCAAAAATAAAAAAAGGAAAAAAGTGATGAAGTACAGGTAGTCTTCGACTTACAACAGTTCGCTTAGTGACTGTTCGAAATTACAATGGCACTGAAAAAAGTGCCCCCCAAGCCACAGCCGAGCAAGACACCTGCCTGCCCGCCCAGCTGCGCTCTTCCTCCTGTCCGAGGTTTTCATTGTTGTGAGCATTTCTATTGAGGATTGGCAGGGGGTGGGGTGGGGGGGTGTTTGGTTTTTATTCCCCCTGTCTGCTGGGTGGTTGCAGCATGTTTTGGTCACTTCACATGACCCTGGGATACTGTGACCATCATAAATATGAATCAGTTGCTAGGCATCTGAATGTAAATCACAAGACCCTGGAGATGCTGCAACATTCCAGCTGATTGGTGCTTCTTCAGGGCTCAGCAGAAGCACCAAGATCAGCGCCGAGCTTCCACTGGTGCTTCCACTGAGCCCTGACAGCCCCGAAGAAGCGCCGATCAGCTGGAAAGCAGCACTGATCCTGGCGCTTCCGCTGAGCCCTGACAGCCCTGCAGCTCCAGCCATCTCTCGCTCAGGCTTGTGTGGTGCTGCCACCGGTTCAGCTCATTCCCCTCCCCCGCTACCACTTTTCTAGGATGGTCGCGTACCACCTGCCAGGTGGCAATGTACCACAGGTGGTACTCGTACCACTGGTTGAAAAGCCTTGGTCTACAGTGTCAACTTCCACCAGAAACATTTAGTTTCTGGTGAAACTAGAAATATTTTAATTCATTGCAAATCAAAGGAAGACAAAAGAGCAGAGTCCAAAGCATTAAACTAGAAAGTTCACATACTAAAGGTGTCTTGTGCTTCTGCGGAGCATAGAAAAAACTCTGTAGTTCGTATACCAGCAAAAATTGTGCACATGGTGTATATAATTACACATTACCATGTTACATATGGTATCCATATGGTATCCATATTGAAGCAGTGTAATTCTGCTTCCAGATAGACCTGGGTAGGACAGAGCTAAGCACAATGTGGGTTAATCTACCTTGTCTAATCACTGGAACTCTGGTGAGAGCCATCATGGTATTTCATGGCCTCTTCCAAACCTGCCATGAGCTTCTAGTTCAATGGTTCTCAACCTTTTTAATGCCGTGACCCCCCAACCGGTCGTAAGTCGAGGACTAAACCGGTTGTAAGTCGAGGACTACCCAACCGGTCGTAAGTCGAGGACTTTCCCTGCCCGGGAGCGCCGCGCATGCATGGTTCCACCCCCTGCGCCGGCCGAGGCGTAGCTGGCAAGCGGCAGAGACAGAGCAGGCCGACCACCAGCTGGCCCAGCCCAAGGGAGGTAAGGCACCTGCCGGAAAAGGGGGAAAAAATGGCGGACAGCCTTGCTTGGCGACCCCCGTGAAATGGTCGATCGACCCCAAATGGGGTCGCGACCCAAAGGGTGAGAACCGCTGTTCTAGTTTGAGCATTCAGAACTTTTTATTTATTTATGGGAAGTATATTATTGTGATGGATGTTCAGTAGAAAGCATTTCGCTTGGGTAGAATTGGTAATGCTAATTTTCCTGATAGAGATATAATGCTGGTTTGTTCCGTGCACCACCTTTAGTTGTGGTTTCCCTGTGTCCCCTTCCGGATCACCTGTGGATTTCTACCTCTCTCCCATTCACAAACCCCTTTCCCTGTGACTCTACCTGTTGTTTTGTTTTCTTCCTAGGCATCTCTGAATCCCAAGAGCTCTGCTTTCCTGGTGTCTACTTCAGGCAGTTTTCCCCCGTTGGGCCAAAGGTACATACAAGTTGCTCAGCTGCATTCAAAAGAGATTGAGTCCCAGTAGACGTGATGAATATACCATGCCAACACTTGAGGTCCCTGTTAATCTCTGGGCTGGGGATATTTAGTGCAACATTTTCCCTATGGAATCTTTCTAGAACTCTCACAAGAATGTACCTTCCTGACTTATTTACAATCTCCACCCGATTCCATTGTGGCTTAGTAATTGAAACTGATCTAATTTGGGTGCATTAATTTATAGGTTGGAAAGTTTTACTACCGTATTAGAAAAAGTTAGAAACTAATCCACTTGGCTTGGATTAAGAAAAAGGTTGGGTTATATACAGTATATGAAAGAGAGACCTGTTTCCCAATGTACATAGACATACTGACCTCATGTACATATTTTAAATAAATATATCTACCATTAGATATTTATGATTGTGTGTACGTACGTATAATTGCACAGTTGGGAGAGCCATTTGAGGCATGGAGTCCAATAGCACACTCTTTAGTGCCAGAATTATGAGAAAGGAAAGGGAATTGGTAATTATTTCCATGTTTACTTTTCCTCATGGTTAGAATATTTTTCCAATAATCAACCATCTACAGCAGGGATAGTCAACCTTGGCTCTTTTATGACTCGTGGACTTCAACTCCCAGAATTCCTGAGCCAGCATGGCTGGCTCAGGAATTCTGGGAATTGAAGTCCACGAGTCATAAAAGAGCCAAGGTTGACTACCCCTGATCTACAGCAATGTTTTTCAAACGTGGTAACTTTAAAATATGTGGACTTTAACTCCCAGAATTCACCAGCCAACATGTAGAGTGATT